CCCAACCTCCCAGCAGAAATTAGCAGTGTCTTCAGGACAGCCTCTGCTCTTCTCTAGCCAGGGCAGCCACTTAAAAAGTGGCCCTAACAAGTGTTTTTTCTTTCAGGACTCACCTTTCCTCTGCTCCCCAAGGAGGTCTGCAGTCTCCAGCTCAGCTGAAAGGATATCCACAGCACCAGTATGATCTGACTGAATCATGACGATATCCCCTGTTCCTTGCACATGGTAGTTGGTTAGCCGGACAACAGATTCCTGCGCAAAGCACATAAGAAGCATTGTCACAAAGACCATCAGGGTGAGGAAGTCCCCAGCTGGATTTAAAACAACTCACTTGTAATTCGTGCATCTTTCCGAAGCCAAGTCAGACCCTACAGAAGCTCTTATTAGTTAAAAAGAGCTGGCTGGCTCCAAGACACCTCTCTGCATTATTTTCTTCACAGTACTGAAGTCACGAACTTTGAAGTCAAACTATGCACTACTCTCACAAATTACACACCCTTTGGCTTCCACAGGAGTCCCTGGGCAGGAACATCTTTGCATCTGCCTCAGAGTTACTTGTCAGCTCTCCACAAAACAACATCCTTACAGATTGAGCTGACTTCAAAGAATTCCCAATACATGATTCTCTCTATGGAGAGTCTTTCAGCATTGTGTGCACCTAGACTAGAGCCACAATCAAACTGTCATTTGCTGCATCCTAATTAAAAGTCCATCTGGTTTACTAGGGCCAGCCCTCTGGTCTCACATATGCAAACTCACAGCTTCTGAGCTGGGTGCTGCTTGCACAGGTTTTCTTGACCATATCTGTAATGCAAGCAAATTGGCTGCTCACCAAAAGAAATAAAAGTTGACAGAGTCACTTTCAGTTCTATCTTCTATAAATCTGCAAGAAGGGAATTCCCAAAAGCCCCAGACAAGAGGCAGAGGTGAGAATAACCTTGAATCCTTAGTGAGCCAAAAACTGCAAGTAAATGAGGACTAGCCAAAGACACAAGAGGGATTGTGCAAATCAGACCAGTAACATTTACCTCCCACTACTGTACAGAAAAAAAGTACAACTGAATCTATGTTAATACTATTTTTGTCTTAACAAAATCCTTAAAGCCTCAGTCCCACAGCCCTAAGCACAGCAGTAGGGTGGAAGAACTATCGCTGCACCTCTATCCTTGCTTTCAGACATAAGAAAGAGCCACCTACCTCTTTGAGGGACTGGATTTGATCGGGCACCTTCTCTCCTAGTTCAGCCCCTTTCTGGTCCTCCAAAGTGCCAGCTTCTTGCTTCGAATCCTCTGTTGCAAGCACACTCAAGGGTGACCCAATCTGTGACCTTTTGGAGCAAGGGAGCACTGGAATTCAGCACTTGCACCCAGGGCACAGCCAGCAGAGAATTCACTCTGTTCTGGAACTCAAATTCAAATGGACTGAAGCAAACAAGCTTCTGTGGTCAGCATGTGCCAACTGCACAGAGTGCCCTGCATCCCACTCCTGCCCTCATCTCCACGTGACTATGTTCAGTGTGAACCAGAGTGAGGAACTTCAGTTGTAAATACTCCATACTTACCACCCTTCAGTTGGCAGGAATTTGCTGCACTCACCCAACAACGTGCTAGCTCACCAACACTGTACTAAGTGCAGAAATCAGTAGCAAGTGTTTTTGCTCAAGACAGGATGGTGACTTTTATGCCATCTACTACATGACACCTGCATATTCCATCAGAGGTCAACTGGATCAGTGAAAGGATTCAAAACAGTTTTGACAGCCATCCTGACAATGTCCTCTATTTAAGTGGCCCGTTATGCCTTTCGTGTTAGCAATCCCAGGGGATACAGGGAGCACCCGGGTGTGTCTCTGCCACATTCAAATATGCCACACAGACAAGCATGCCCTAAGACATATGTACAACAGCAGCATGATAATAGCAAGGAGGTCCAAATACTGCACTGTGAAAAGAGATAAACGTTCCAACAAAAAGAAATATACATAGCAGGAAAAGAACGGGCAAGAAAGGAAACATCTTTGGCATTCATACTTTGTTGAAGGTTTTCTTCTAAATTCTATGTAGAAAAATTTCTATAGCTGGAAAAAGTGAACTCAGGTGGATGCCAGAAGAGTCTCCTCTGTCATATTCTCAGTTACCATGTGAAACTTCCATGAGAAGCAACCTAGTCTACAATAAGAATAGAAACAGTTGTGCTTTTGAAAAGCAAAGCCTTCTCACAGCACTATAAAACCAATGTCAACTGCTTTGGTCTAATGGATTAGAAACACGAGAACACAGTAGGTAATGGGAAATATGGGCATTTCTTCAAACGTCACTTTCAGAAATGAGAAATATTCTCATTAGCAAGGGAGCAGATTATCAGTATAGTGCGAAATAGTTTAAAAAAAATTGAAAAGAACTCCATACACAGCTCAGCTTGGACACATTCCTTGCTGCACCCATAGAGAAGACCACAACAGGGCCAATGTGGCTTTTGTTTCTAAATCTCTACTTATGTGGGGGTATGGATTTTATCCAGAAATAAAGCAATTCTTACTTAAATTCTCTCAACAGTGTGATTTCCTTTTCTAGAAATGGCTTGATAGGTCTGTAGGAACAACTCAAATGAACTGAATACCAGTGTACACCAAATGGCAACAGATGGACAATACAAGAAAAAGATGGGATACGCAGAGGGGATAGTTTTTCAGAGGAAGAACTCTCATGGTGATCCATAGCATTTTCTCTGGCATTCCAGGGCAAATTTGGACTTTTATGCCATTGTTTTCCAGCTCATTTGCTTCTAGAAGGTCACCTGCGGCCACGGGTGCACATATCAACTTAAAAAGCTCTCCATCAACATAGGAGCTAACAGTTTGGGAATTTTTACCTCTGGATACCACTGAAGCCCAAGTCTCACTGAAAGATTAGGAAGAGCTACAAGAGCTTGATAACCAGATTTACAAAGACAGAGTTCAGCTGATTCCTCCTCACATAACCTTCCTGGATCACCTCCATCCCTTTCAGAGGAGATCTAATTTAGACAAATTTATCAGGCAACATCCACAAGTAGCCAGCATATAATTTGGCCATTTTTCTCAGAGTCCATACTAATCTCTTCCAAAACAATATTAAAAAACATAATAAAGAGAAGGAATAATAGATGTTTAGAGTCAAGAAGGCTGATACAGATGTCATTATCATCAAGCCAAGACAGTAAACTGCTGTTTAAGTAAGTAGTGTGGTTTGTTGGTTTTGAGTTTTTGTTTGGTTAGGGGTTTTTGTTGTTGGGGTTTTTTTGCCAGAATTTTTCTTCCTCCTCTTCAACAAGGTTGTGGTTTGTCTACTGTCTGATGCAATTAACGCACATATTTCTGAAACCGTACCCTGTGCAACAAGTGTACGATGGTACGCAAAACTCCACTGCATACGGTATTGGTGCTTGTAACCGACGCAATGACTCGGCCACAAGCACCACATTGCCCAACAGATAACAACAAGCCGAACATCTGATAACAGGGTCAACCAACAGCATTAACAAAGGGGTGACACAGAAAAAGGGTGAAGAAAAAAACAAAACATAGTCTAGATGACAGTAAAAAGTGTGTTCTTCCACCAGAATTATAGACAGCAAAGTGGGAATTCTTAATTGTTAAGGTATCCTTCAGACAGGATAGAAAAAATTTCC